TTAACATTTTGATTGAGATATGATACTCGTTTGAGATTATGAGATCATCTTTTGTCATATCTTAGTCAGTATGTTAACGTCAAGCTCAGGTTGCCATCATTTTCTCAACAAAGAAGGAAGAGTTTGAAACATGTGAATAGTCGGATGACCATTTTGTAACTTTTAATAGTTGGGGGATTGAATAAAGTAATATCTTATAGTTTAAGGACCATTTTATAATTTTAATAGTTGATGACTCAACAAAGTAGTGCCCTATAGTTAGGGGACCATTTGTGTACTTTACCCATGATTTTTTTATAAAAAATAAAATTAAACTGAATTGTGAAATTAAATTGTAAAATGAAATATTCAAACTGAACTGAATCGTGCTCAAATAAAGGTGACATGTAGACCATCTAGCTCAGTTGGTAGAACACAAGGTTCTTAATCTTGAGGTCGTGAGATCGAGTCTCATAGAGGGCATTTCATAATTTAGAGGTCTCTTACAGAAGCTGCTCTCAACCTAGTATTGGGGGCATCCTACTATTTTACCTCCCCTTATCCCATTACATATGGGAACAATGGACACCCATATAGAAAACTAAAAGCCTGGAAGTCCATTGGTTATAACTTGAATATTATTTGTAAAATATTTTTTATATTAATATATTAAATAGTATTGCACGAATCAATTTACCTCAGTAAAGGAAGCGCTGTTGTACCTAGAGGTCATTGTTTTGAGTACCAACGATTACAAGGGTGATTGAGCGATCAATGTCAAATAATTAAAAATATTTAGAACATATGTTACTTTGTAATCACTTTTAGTTTAATCAAAAAAAAATTAAATAATAATTCATTTTTTTAACATGAATAAAAATTCATTTTTAAATATTATTCAGTTTAATAATCTTTGTACTTCGCTCACCTTATTATTTGACCTGAGCTAAACAGTGCCATGTTATCCAAGAAATATTTTAAGGTGACGTTTAGTTCGTTGGAATCTCTTGGAATTAGAGAGAATTTGAATCTAATTTTACTATTTTCTCATGTTTGGTTCAAGTTTTCAAATGGGGAATTGAAATCTAATTCCATCAATGGAGGGAAAGTAAATTTCATCCATAACATGATGGAATTGAAATCCTTTGGAGGAGAGAATGTGAAATTTGATCATACTACCCTCATCAATCTTTTGGTATTTTGGTAGGATTTTTTTTAAATTTTGGGATCGGTCGGATTTTTTTTTAAAAATCGGGTTCAGGTCGGGTTTTTTAAAGTTTGATATTCGAGTCGGTCGGGTTTTTATAAGTGTGATATTCGGGTCGGGTTCGGGTCGGTTTTTTTTATAAAAAAAATTGGGTTCAGGTCGGGTTTTTTTAAGTTTGATATTCGGGTCGGGTCTAGTTTTTTTAAGTGTGATATTTGTGTCGGGTTCGGTCAATTTTTTTAAGTGTGATATTCGGGTCGATCGGATTTTTTAAAGTGTGATATTCGGGTCAGGTTCAGGTTTAGGGTGAAAAATACCTGACCCGAAAAAAAATATAATTTTATCTTATATATTTATAAATAATTACAATAATATCCCTCTATATATTTTTTTTCAATTAAGTCATTGTTTTTATTGAATAAAAATAATTTTATTATTATTTCGGGTCGGGTTTCTAATTCATATATTCTGGTCGGGGCGGGTGAAACTTTATTTTGGTCGGGTCGGGTAAAACTTTATTTTGGTCGGGTCGGGTCGGGTGGACCAAAAACCCGACCCAACTCTACCCATGACCATCCCTAATTGGGATGATTTTAACTTATATTTATTAGTATGGTTTTTATAATGTATTAAAATGAATAATCAATCAATAAATTTTCATAATATATTGCTACATGTAAGTTATAAAACAAACTAAAATTAAGCAAAAAAAACAAGAAGGGTAATTTTGTCATTTTACATTACTGAAATCAAATTCATCTGACATGTATGCGAACTAAACAGAATATGGAATTGAATTCCAATTCAATTTCCTGCTAACCAAACATGTTTCAGATTCATATTCCAATTCCTACAGATTCATATTCCTTCACAGATTCTAATTCTCTCATAAACATTCTAGCGAACCAAACGCCACCTAAATGTCTTGAGATATGAAGTTGTCAAACTCAAAAAAATTTAGATTAAATTTAAAAAAGTGTCAATAATCAATTAAGATGATGTTAAATTTATTTATTTTTCTTAAAGAATCCTCGACATATTTGAAAATAAAAGATATCACATAAGTATCAATCACATTACTAAAAAGGAACTGGTTACTTCTATAGTCTAATATTTTAATTAAATATTAAAACATTTGGTGTGAAAATATTAGGAATAAAATAAGTAATTGATTTGGTCGAATATCTCCTCCAAGTGATTTGGTTGGTAAAGGATGCTCTTCGCTGCTATTACGGAGTCGCTTTGTTAAGTATACGGTCGTAATCCAACTACAAACCCCCCAATTTGGACATCATAACAATTTTCTTCTAAATTCATTTCTTTGTTTATATTATTAATTAATTTAAATTAAATATTATTAAAACATATTCTTTTTAATTCAGTTTTTATCTATAATATTATAATTTGAATTATTAACTTATTTAAAAATTTAAGATCAACCGATCATTATTAAATTTTATTGATTTATTATAGATTAGTTATGATATAATTAAAGTTTTCTATTTTTTAATGTGAAAATAAATATACATGTGAACGTGCGGTCACGGTCATAAAGAGCACGACACGACAATTGACAAATAGATGAATAACGCGTGCAAAATGATTTAAATTTGACCCTTGTGCCAAGTATAAAACAAATGCTCGGTTTGGTTTGTTAGATTGATTAATACTTTATGTCAAAATCCACATTATTAAATGTTTTATAAAACTAAAAATTATACAATAGTAAATATTGTTTTTTTTCATATAATGTGTGTTTTATTTATAACTTTTGACTCGTTTAATGATATGGTTAAATGAATCATTGTTGTTTTTAGATATTTTATGTCCTAATATTAGAAATTATAAAAGTGTTAGAGTTTTTATTGTTTAAATGATTATTAATATTTAGAATATATATTACTTTATTATCATCCTATATTAATAAAAAAAATAGATATTTTAAACGTGACTAGTGATTGAAAATTTTCATATTAAATTGAAATCCTCGTAATAAATAGGGATGACATGGGACTCAAATCTGACGAATTTCGACCTGATCGGGTTGGATTTTTTTTAAAAAAAATTTGATTCATGTTTAGGATAAAAAATATTCGACCTACGAAACATATAAGTTTATCTTTATATTTATGGATAATTTCAATAATACTCCTTTATATTTTTTTCAATTAAATCACTATTTTTATTGAATAAAAATAATATTTTTTAATAAATATATTATTTTAGGTCGGTTTGACTGAAAATCCGACCCGAATATAAAACTTTTTTAATTTTATACAGATCTAGGATCGTTAGATGATTGAAAAATAAATAGCTAAGATTAACAGTAAAAAATGAGAATATATTTGAATATAAAAAATAATGAGTTAATCTCTGCCATATTTTAATTCATCTAACGATCATAAATATGTGTAAAATAAAAAAATTATATTTTGTAAATGAGTCTTAACTCATAAATAAATTAAATAATAATAATTATAATAAAAAATAAAAAATAAATAAAATTTTTGTAAAATTCGAAACAAAGTAACAAAAGGACCGAGAATAAGTTTTGTGATAACTTTAATTTTAATTTTAAAAAATCATTAGATAATCGGCATGACTTGTTCGCATTTCAATAAATCTTTAACAAAAAAAGGAAAGAAAAAAATTTGTAGAAGTTAAACGCAGGAGCTGTTTAGTGGGCCACCGTAATATTCGCGACCGTGCCAGAAGAAAACAAAGATTTCCGCACGTGAAATATATGTCAATATACAATAAGAAATGTTTAGGGTAAATTATAAAAATGGTCAATTTTATTTTGTAAGTTCATTTTTTTCATTGAATATTTAAAAAATAGTATTTTAATTAATTATTCATTTATAATATATTTTTTCTATTATGTTTTTGAATTGTAATATTTTAGTCATTAAGATGTTAAATCATGTTAGTTTAATGATTTGATACGTTAAAAAATAGATTAATTTTAATTTGATCTCTCAATTTAAAAAAAAATATTAATTTGACTCATAGACTCTAGATAAAATATTAATTTAACTTATGAATTCAAGTAAAGTCTCATACCTTCAACTATTGCTCATCATTGTCATGAATCATTTTCGGTTGCCATTGATTGTCACCGTCTCTGATTGTTAGACTATAAAATTTTTAGTTCACTCATTTTTTATCACTTAAACGTAAATATGTTGTTATATCTTTGATTTCTTTTAATTTTAAACTATAATGGTAAATTTATTGTGAATACTATTATGATTTAATTTTAAAAAAATCACATTTGTGAAATGTTAGGTACTTTTCAATAAAATATATATCAAATTTACATTTAAAGATTAAAATTTAAGTGAAATAAAACTTTTTAGTCTAACGATCATATGTGACAACACTTGTTGACGACCAATAATGACAAATAATAACAGTGAAAAATGATCGATGATGTAAGACTTTAATTGATTAATTGGATATATAAGTTAAAGATATTCTATTTAAAATTCATAATATTTCACTTAATATTCAAGATAAAGTATCGTTTCCATAAAATATTATTTATTATAATTATTAACTTGGACATTAAATATCAGGGTCGATCGAAATTAAAAATGACTCTTTTATTGTTATTGAATACCTTACAAGTAGTGATCATTTAGTATCAATTTAATGACAGCATCCTTTTATGAATATTATCATAAATAAGCCAATAGTTCATCACACGGAAAGAGAAAAACCTCAATGGCTTTCCAAGAAGAAGGCTTCCAGTTTCTATTTTTTTATGCAATGAAATCTGCACATTTAGATCGAGTTTTGTCAGATTATGTACGTCCCCATGTCTACAGCGTTGACAACCGATAAATCTAAGGTTAAAAATGGTTGGATTATTGATGTTTGAAACTTTGTCTGCTGGTGCCCATGTTGTTGGAACATCCCATCACATTTTTTTCCTTATTATTACCAATAATAATACTCATTTCATCTTCTCCACTCACTTTCTGCGTCGCTTCCCCCACCGCTTTCTATCCGCCCACAGCGGTCCCGGCACCTTCTTTAAGAACAATCCGATCGTCGCTCCATCCCAAACTCGCCATCCTCGTTACTGTTTCTCTTGTCTTGCTTCTTCTTTACTGTTGGCAATGGGGTTCTTGTTGAAATTCTTCAAACGCCGTAAACCCACGGCGGCCAGCAGCTGGGCCGATGAAGAAAAGGGAAGAGATTTAAGCGTCAAAGAAGGTAAAGGGTTTGTTAAGAGGTTTAAATGGGATGAGATTAAGGATTCGACTAAGGATTTCTCGCGTTTGATCGGACAAGGAGGGTTCAGCAATGTCTACTTGGCTAACTTGTTGGGTTCCACCCTCGGAGCAGTCAAGATCCATGTCGGAAATGATCGGTTAAATCAAGTGTTCAAACAGGAACTGGATATTCTGACCAGAATCCGACATGACAACATCGTTAAATTCCTTGGCTACTGCGACGATCAAGGTAGTTGCTTTAACTGTTCAACAATGGAAAAAAAAAACAAACAAAAAAGATTTAGTATTTTTTATAATATTTTTTCAATTTTGTTTTACAGAGGAAGGTGCAATGGTGTTTGAGTACGTTCCGAATGGAAATTTACAAGAGAAACTCCATGGAAACGGAAAGGAATTGCTTCCATGGAAGACCCGTATTAGCATAGCTTTTCAACTTGCTGAAGCAATCGAGTACTTGCACGACAAATGCAGTCTCCAGATAGTTCATGGCGATATCAAAGCTTCGAACATCTTGTTAGACGAGCGGTTCAACTGCAAGCTCTGCGATTTCGGGTCGGCGAAGATGGGATTTTCATCGACGGTGGTGCCGCCAAAGACGAAGCAGATAATGGTAGGCTCGCCGGGGTACACCGACCCTCATTATTTGAGGACCGGTATTGCTTCTAAGAAGAACGATGTTTATAGTCTGGGTGTTATTATTTTGGAGCTTGTGACTGGGATGGAGGCCTTTTGTCCCGAAAGGGGACAATTGCTGACGACTATGGTGGCACCGAAGTTAAGAGAGGTTGTCGAGGCTGGTGGTGGGGTGGCGGAGATGGTGGATCCAAAGTTGGGTGGTGAGTTAGACTTGGAAGAAGCTAAAGCTATGCTTTTAATCGTTGAACTCTGTCTTCAAAAGTCACCTACCGTTAGGCCTTCGGCTGCAGAAATAGTGCAGACAATGAAGGATAAAATCGGTTCTGTTGATTCACGGTTGTTGCCTCCGGCCAAAGAGTACCATTGTTGATTGATTGATGGTGATGGTCGTGTTTGATTCAGTTCGTTGCAATTGTTTGTACATACACAAAAACCAGGGAGTTTCATGGACTGTTTGCCCCTGGATTAGATGCGATCTATTGGTCGACCAGATCGAGTTCAAGATTTTGCAAATGTAAATTGAAACATCAAATCTTTAGAACAAGTGATTTGTACTGTAAATTCAACAGATGAACTGGATATTGGATGTTTGTAAGTGCAGTTTCCAGAATACAAGTGAAAGATACAAACTAATAACTAAAACAAGCTGCAAATACCTAATTACTGTATTCAACCTCATGAAACAAAAAGGAAATCGTTTCATATTTATCCGATGTGTTGGTACACTAAAAACTTGTTAATCCAAAGAAACAAAGAAGAAATCATTTCATCTTAAAATATACAAACTACTTCTCAGCTCGCTTCTTGGGATTCAGATAAACCTGAAATTGCCCTTCGATGTGAAGGGTCTCGATGACAAAACTTCACCCACGGCACCCTTGCTTCTCTCTTAATGTTGGGTCCCTGAAGAGAACGATTGAAGCCAGAAGGTGAGATAGGATCCAATGGCCTCAAGGGCAATAATTATAATTATCCTTCATGGAAGATGGAGTCTAACCTCTGAATATGGTCGAGAATAAGGAGCCTGGGTCCAGGGGGTATTTTCACATCTCTAAGAGCACTGAAACACGATATATGCCGATTTAAAGGCCATTACAATATATCGAAACAGTTCGTAAAATGTTAATTACAAAGTTAAATTAAGATGAAAACATCCGACTGCTTGCCTGTCAATGAGCAAAGGCAATGTGGTATGCCTTGACAAGCCTTTTTTGAAATTCTTCTCGTAGTTCTGCAGGCCGAGACTGTTTAACATGGATTTCGTTCTGGAATAATTCACATCCTCAACAGGTGGTTGAGGAAACTGCATTTCTGCAGGCCAAGTTTCTAAATTGATAGGGAAACAAGATCAATCAAAATCAAAACGATCTTCAGAAACTGTCATCTCATTTGCTACTCAAAATAATATGTACTTGATTAATCACCTTCTAACTGTACCAGTCAATTTGTGCAGGCTTAATTCTTAGCAGAGCTTGACACGGGCAATTTTCCCGACCAAGCTACAGAGCTAGAATGGAAAATAAGTTGGCTCCTAAATGGCAACAGCCCTTAAGAGTCTCCAGTGAAATACAAGAGAACATTGCCACCCAATTAAGGCCCAAAAAAAAAAAACTAGAGAGAGACATAGACTTCATTATCTCAAATTCTCTGTTGCTGAATCAAACTGGCTACTGTTAGACCAATGCAAGAGAAAACATTCCTTTCTAATTGACCAAATTCAGAAAGAAAGAAAAAAAGGCAGCAAAGGTACGCTAACATGAACAACCTTTTTGACCATAACATATGGAGAGCTAAGCTTGGTTCGACCTTAAAAAATGACATCGAGATTTTCTTTTCATCTCAACAAGGATCACATTGAGATTCAATACACAACCGAGGACAGATATAGGATAAAAAACACTTCTAGTGTGTATGTTGGTGTGCTGTACTCTGATTATGACTAGTAGAAATATCCTATAGCCACAAACCAACTGAAAGTAAGCAAGTGGCGATGAATTGAACCATCATAAAAAAGGGGTTCACCTAAATTGCACGTCCTCCTTCCATCTCAATCTTTTCATAACACAAGATATGCCGGCATTGACACCCGTCATTACGGAAAAGTTTCGAGCTTGTACCAAGGGACCTCCTGATAGAGCCTGCAAACAAAGTAAAAATCTATCATATATACACAGCATCGATTATGTTGAAGCCAATACTTTTTAAACAGCAGGAAATTCAATTAGCTTGCACCAAACTTTTAGGACATTTATACTTTGATCACTAAACTTTTAATTCGTTTATATTTTAATCATTACCGTTTTATTTTAAATGGGATGGAGTTTTGGCGGTTTGAAAGGAAGCCTAATATTAGTTGGAACCTATAGAAGCTATTGGATTTGAGAGATGAAGCTCGAGCTTTTTATGCACCAACACCAAACCTCCAAGGCATCAATGTTCAAAGAATTTGATCTTCAGTTCGACCGGAGGAAGTTAAAGTTGCATAAGATCTTGTGATTTTTCCTTCATGTTCCCAAGCATGCCATCACCGGGTGGATGGCCATCCTAGGGACTAAAGACAAGTTGTTGTAAATAGGGCTTGTTGTGGATGAAAATTATGTTTTCTGTGATAATTTTGAAACCAAGAATCATCTTTTCTTCGATTGTCACTTTTTTAGGAATATTTGAGAGACTGTTCTGGTAATGTGTCTTCACAGGAAGGCTACGAATTGGGAGTTGTTGTTGAAATGGACTTCCTTGTATCTTAGGTGTAAGTCTTTGATTTTCTTTATACTTAGGATAGCTATGAATACTCTTGTTTATTGTGTTTGGAAAGAGAGAAATGGAAAGCAGTTTAAGGGAATTGTAAGGGGTTGACACTTGACAGGTGATGCTGGATATAATTTATGAGATTGTGAGAATTAAACTTACTTATAGGAATATAAATAGAGGAGACGTTGTAAATAGAGGCCTTTGTGTTAGTTGGGGTATCTCCTTGTAGGGTATCCTTAGTTTTTATTTGGTACCTTGTTGGTTGTAGCAGTTTTTATGCTTTTCTTAAATAATACACACAAATTTATTTAAAAATAATCGATGTAACATATTTATAAATATTTATTTATAATAATTATAAATGACGGAAAATACACAAACATAACTCTTTTATAGAATACGAATAAGGCTCTACAAAATATTGATAATAATTAGATGAAGTAAATACTTAAAATTTGATTTGTATATTTTAAATATGTTTCGCATAAAATATGTTAGTGACTTAATTGATAAGTTTTTTGTTTGATGGCCAAAATAGAATTGATTTTATAATTCAGTGACTAAATATACCATTTACCCTTCTCTTCACGAATCACGGGTACAACGATTAAACTGATCCATAGGCACTAAATTTAACCAGATTCTATAATGGAGGGACAAAATTGATATATTAGAGGGACTAAATGGAATAGTCCTTACAACAGAGGGACCTGCAACAAGTTTTGTCGGGGGGAAAAAACATTCTCCATCATTTTCTATTATGTTTTTAGAAAGAAAAAACAACAATCTCTCACGTGGCGTGATTAAATTAAAGTTGAAAATTAAGAAATAATTTTATCCTAATACCTGAAAACCGTCGTGGAACTGCTAAGAACACAACCAAAGGTTTGATTTCCAACCAAACATAAAACCAATCTAAATTAATTAGTCTTAATTTCTACCGATTAAAACAAAATCATTTTTCAAAATGGTAGGATTTATTATTGGTCAATGAATTTGTTTGACGGTAAAGATCTAATTCCCTTCCCCTTTATATAGTTCTTCCTTTCCCATTCACGTCCCTGTGAATCGTCAAAATGTACAAATTCTTTGTTTTCAAGGTAAGGATGCCTTGAGAAAAGAAAATATTTTCATGGAATTCCCTCTCTTCTGAGAAAACAAAGGAAAGCAGCATTAAACGCGAGCTTTCCCTTTTTCTTTCTTTTTTCAGTTTTGCTTAAAAAAGAAGGAAAGCTCGCTTTCATTTTCCGGAAATTTTGAAAGGATTTCAAGTCAAAACGATGGTGACGTTGTTTACGATCCAATTCCACGAATCCGCATTGTCGCTGTTGTTGTTGTTGCTCGTCGTTCCTTCCTCTTCTTCTTCTTCTTTTGCTGTCGGATCGCAACGGAATTTCACGACGGGGATCTTGTTGCCGTCCGATGCGGCGGATGCGTGCGGTGTTTCGCCTCCCTCCCGGCGTTCTTCGTGCCCGGTCAACTGCTTTAGGACGGATCCCGTTTGCGGGGACGACGGAGTTACGTATTGGTGTGGGTGTGCAGACGCACATTGCTCGGGGGCTAAGGTTGCGAAGATAGGATTCTGTAACGTGGGAAATAACGGCGGGACTGGATCTTTCCCTGGTCAGGCTTTACTTGTGTTGCATATAGTTTGGCTCATTGTTCTAGGCATCTCTGTTTTCTTTGGCCTAATCTGAATTTTCTTTCTGTATTTTTTTAAAAATTTCTAAACATTTTCCTATTTTAAATCAGTCACCATTAATTCACTGAAAAAATATACTTCTTTTCTACCTATCATTTTCAACATGGATTTTATATTTTTTTTATTAGAAAATCCTCATCTTTTATAGTCACCATTGATTCAGTGAAAATTTATTAGATTTTCTTTCCTAGCTATCATTAATGAAAATTTTAAATTCAATTTTGATCAAACCGTTATCACCTATGATAAATAAAAATTATGTTCTTACATTTTCATATTTAAAAATGAATGTAAAATTATAAGCAATTATATAAACCTTACCCCCCAAAAAAATAAGGAGTTACATAATAAATTTTAAAATTTAAATTTTAAAATTTAAGTATTTAAATTATATTATTATATACAAATAAAAAAACTAAATTAGATAAAAAAAATTAACTTTATAAAATTTTGACATAACACTCGTGGGTCCATCTCTATGAATCATTTTGAAAACATTTATCTTCACCCCTTTCACATATTCATAAGTCATTTTAGACTTATTTTTATCCTTTTAACCAATTGTTTTTATTTCGAACCTTTGAAAGACTATATTAAAATTTGTTCATGGAAAAATAAATTATAATATAAGTAATACAAATATATAATATTCATGTGAGTTAATAATAACTTAATATATAAAATAAATGTTTAATGTAAAATTAAGTGTTAAAACTATACTTAAAGTTAACTTTAATTGTTTAAAGAATTTTTCGTTCAAAATAAATGTCTAGCGTTTTTAACGTTACACTTTTAAGTGCATAAGCTGCAACGGTCGTTAAAAAAAATTGTTATCTGGCACATGTCATGTTTATATTTTTAAAAAAATATTTTATAAAAAACAAGAATAATATTATTTTCAAAATAACATCACATTCTTTTTGAAATTTAAAAAAAAAAACCTCAAAAATCTCTAATCCTCAATTTTAATTCTCTTCCCTGTTGTCGGCCGGCGCAGACGGTCACCACTACCGTCGATTGCAAATACAACAAGGCAAAGTAAATACAAGATACAGATCACAAGACATAATCGCCCAAAGTAAGGTATTAAAACAAAGGCAATTTAGGTATTAACTAAAATTTCAATACTGTAATACACAAATTGTGGTAAATAGGAGATTCACGTTTGCAGGATTCACCATTTGTGCGCCTAACCACTGCTGATGCATCATTACACTCTTTCCCTCTTTAAATAAAAATAATAATACATTTGAGATTAGGTTTAAGGAAATGGATATTAAGTTTAAGGATTTATAGATATAAAGAGATTGAGACGTGACAAAAGGATGATTGATAGTGGAAGTTTGCCGATGAGTGAGTGGTCGTATGATGGTGATAAAGACGATCGGTGATAACGGATGACAACTGATAATAAGGGTTGGAATGAGAAATTTTAAAATTCATATTTTTTTAATTTCATAAAATTTTGGGGTTTTTTAAAATAAATAATACTTTAAAGTTTTCTTTAAAATAATATAAAATTCTGAAAGAATATAAACACGAGATGTTTTAGTTAATAAAATTTTTAACGAACGTTATGATTTAGAAACTTAAAAATATAATATTTAAAACATTAAACATATATTTTAAATGAAACTACTTTCAACCTGTTGGGGATAACCTACTACCTTAACTCTCCTCACCCCCCATTATATAGAGAATAGGGTAATCTAATTTTTTTTTCCTTTCATACAAGGCAGATCACAGATAGTGGTTTGGTTTCATATGGTGGAGGCGCGGTGGGGCCAACTATTACATATTTGTAAATTTTGTAGGAATAATAATTTATGGAATGTTTTGCTTGTAGATTAAGGAATGAAGCAGTCCATTGGATTCGGTTCCTTCGAAACTTAACTTTGTTGGTGATAGAGACCACAGCTTTGTTGACCAAAGCGCATAATGATAACAGGGAGTTGGCTGTTCAAATGATCGAGACACTCTAAATTCATAGATTATTTTCAACCAAAGGTTTAGGTTACCACATAAGCCACATATACCCTCAGTTACAGGGTAGCTTTTTATTTATTTTTAATTAATATGAAATAATTATAAAATAATATTTATTTAAAAGAATTTAAAAAAAATTAATATACTTATATTGTATATATAACTATTTGAATTTAAGATATTTAGAAAGAACAATTTCATTTTAATTACGAAAATCATTTAATGAATTCAATTTAACCTATTTATTGTCTACTCTTATTTTGCTTAATAATAAAATGCAATAAGAAAATAAGATTCTCTTAACAATGATAATCTTGTATGTATATAATTTTTCTTCAAAATAATTTGAATATTTTTTATTATTTTACATTTAAAAGAATAATGGGCTTAATGGTAAAAGCATAGATTAGCTGACAACTTTCACAGCGGAATATGATCAAACGCGGGCATTAAGTAAAGCAAGCTATGGGCCATGGAACCTCTTCAGGAAACCCTTAATCAAAATCTTCCATATCCAAATCCTAATTCCCTCTGAATCTTCTCTCAATCCTCTCACCTTTTTCTACAACTTTTAAGGTTCACGAACGATTCCTTTTCTTTTGGTTTAATAAAAGCTTATTATTATTCTGAAAAATAATAATAATAAAAGCTTATTATGGCTGTTATTTCACTGAATTCACTGCTCATCGGAATCCGATTCCGACCAACTGATGAGGAGTTGATCGATTGTTACTTGCGGTCCAAGATAAACGGAGTGGTTCTTCTTTTGCCCGCTCGACCGGAAGTACCCGAACGGAAACAGGCTCAACTGGGCTACCGGTGCTGGTTACAGGAAGGCTACGGGTAAGGATCGGAAGATAAAGTCCGGGTCTAGCTTGATCGGCATGAAGAAAACTCTGGTGTCTTACACCGGCCGGGCTCCTATGGGAAAGCGCACCAATTGGGTTATGCACGAGTACCGTACTACCCTCGATGAGCTCGACGGCACCAAGGCTGGACAGGTATTTTTCTTTTGACTTGAATATTGTGTTTTCAGTTTGACTCCAGCTGAGGGTTCGATCCTTGTTCCGTGTATTGGTTAGTTTTGCTCATATTGTTTGATTTTCCGGTGTCTTGTTCTGCAGAATCCTTTTGTAATTTGTCGTCTATTCAAGAAACAGGACGAGACTATCGAAGATATTAATGGCAACTACGTTGATTCCGGCTCATCGTCTCACACCGAAGACGTGCAATCTGAGTTTGATGTGCCTCGAGACAAACCTACGGTGGAAGTGAAATCCGATAAAGTTCCCTATAACAGTGAAACTTGTCTTGAAGGTTTAGATAACAAAATGATGTACCATTTAGGAGGTCAACTGGTAGAAATGGCACCTGCAGAGGTGAGAAAATGAAACTGGATTTGGATTTAGATTTCGACATGGATTCGGATTTTGCTGTCATTGCTTTTGCGCTTATGTTGTTTGATTTTCAGGTGGATGTACTTGGAGAAGCTTTGAATCATTTTTATGATCCAATGATGTAGCCACTGGATCGGTAACTCTTTTCTCCGTTGCATTCGCAGATCGAAGCATAGCCTTGGATGTTAGATCATGTCGGGAACGATTTCAGTGGGGTGGAGTTCGAGTATGGTTCTAATGAAAATGATGCCTGTACTTCCCACTTCATGCATTCCATACTAAAAAATTCGGGTGTCTACCACAGCAACGACTCGGGCTGTCAAATGAATTTGATTATTGAAAGAGACACCCAATCCCATGGCTTTTGGTATGGATGGTGGATCATATTGTGAATCCGATGCTGACATGGTTCGAGTTATGGTGAGTGGCAGAATCAAGCTCCTTACATATTGCTTATCTGACGTTCCTACTGCTACTGCTTTTGCGGTCGAACATCATAGTGCGTCTAGATTCATTGTAATGTCTCATGGTATTTTTATTGGATATTCTTACGGGACGGGACTGGCAATGATGACAGAGGAGTTCCTCTAGAGGTTAAAGCGACAGCACATGATATTAAACTTTCTGGTGATGGGGCATTCTATAATGTGCTAAATAGCAATGGCGGATCGAGCAATCACGTGAACGCAACATATAAAATCGATACTGAACCTATCACTGGAATCAAGATTCGATCTTGCACTTGTCGAAGTCAACCAAACATCGAAAACTTGGTCACACAGGGGACTGCATCAAGAAGGTTTAAACTTCAAGTCCATCCTCGCTCCGAAGAAAAGGAAGATGATTCAAAACCCATTGTTACAAAGGTAAGGAATCTGTAAATAATGATAGTGTTAAGCCGTTGCCGAATCCAGATATGTATATGAACATTAATAAGGTTGGTTGTCTTTTTACAGGGCGTACAAACCGTGGAAGACGAAATCACTGTTGGCGACAATGCTGCTCCTGGCACCACCACCATGGATGAACCCGAGGAAATATCCATTTCCGAGTTGAGCAGAAACAATGTTTCGAGGTTAAAGACCAAGATTTCAGTTCATGAAAGAGGTTCCGCTTCGATGGTTAAAGAGGTTTTCAGCTCGTCGGCGGCAGAAGTCATTTAGCATTATTATGTTTCGAATTGTTACTGTGATATTAATTTTGTTTATAGCTTTGGTTAGCACATTGAATGTTTTGTAATTTGATACCATCTTTATATTAAAACTTAGATATTATTAAACTACTAATCATTCCAAATGTTTGGAGTATCCAATCGATCGATTCCATAATCGATAGAAAGTTTATTGAAGTGATGATAAAGTAATAGACGAGTGAACAATGAGTTTGAATGAAAAGACTTGTGTTCACTCGTCTATATCGTAATCGAGATTACCTGTCTAAAGTGCTCGATAAGGTCCGGACACATAACAATGGCAGTATAGCACTTCAGACCCCCAATGCATATAGGAGTAAGCAACCCTAAAGCAAAGACATCATCTTTGACCCCCAAATTCAACAATGAAATTCCCTTCATTCAAACTAACTTGAAAACCATTCTATACATCCTTATCTGATCCAAAAGAGAAGACACTTGTTAGCAAAATCCAGTAGAAATCGAACTCTAAGCATGAGTTCGGGATTCGATTTTCTGACATGGAACGGAAGGTACGAAGCCGAACCTACCGAGTCCTCATCCGCCGTTGAGATCTCCAATTCTTGACATGGTCTGACGCATGGCAATGTGTCGTCCAACACTCACAAGGAGCAGCAGAATCGCAAACATAACAGTAACACTGCATCAAACCAAAACAAAAATCATTAGAACAAAATCCAAATGATTGAAACCATGAACAAACCTAATCCGCCAGTAAAGTAAAAGACTGTTTGTAGGCATACCAGGCCACAATGTCTCTCATGAGGTGTAGTATCAAATGGAAATTGCAGACAAAGATGCCTTGAATGTGGATAATCTCTACAGGCCACCTAAAACAACATCAATAAAAAAATCAAAATCACAAAAACCAAATATCATTGTTCTTTTGGTAGACAAGAAACAATTCCCAGAGATCTAAATTAAACTAAATTTGAAGTTTTTTTCTTTCAAAAAGTGTAAATTTCAAATATATTAGCAAAAAATTTGAATTTAAATTACGAAATTGGAGAAAACAAAACCTGTCCACGCTCGGCGACTACGGAGAGTTCATCGTCAACATCGCCGTTGTTTGCGGCGTAGAACTTGGCAATGTCAATGGGATTGAAAAGGTTAAAATCAATGATAAAGCAATCCTCAGTCTCCTCAACACGCTTCATGTCGACGATCTTTTTCAAACAAAAAATGGATCTTAAAGGACTCCCATCCACTGGATCGTACTTGTTCTTCTTCTCCTTCCTCTCATGCGTCAGTTTCTTTATGCTCGTATCTTTCTCCGCTGATGAAAGTACTGCCTCTACCTTCTCCGCCATCGGAGTTTCGCTTTTGCTTGATTTTCGACGCTTTGCCATTGAAACCTTGTGTTGCTTCACTTTCCGATTAAAATCCTTTGATTTCCTTTCTGATAGATGATTTTTTTTTTAACAAGTTTGAATTTTTTTTCTTTCTTGAAAATTGAATTTGAAAGACAACCGTTGCTTGGATTTCCCCCAAAATAAAAAATAACCTCGGAATCTAATTCTGCTCCAGTACCTCTACGTTTTGAACTTTTAAAATTTAGTCCTAAGTTTTCTAATTCCAGGAATTTAATCCTTTACTTGTGGAATTTAAAAATTAAAAATAATTTTAGTTCAATTTTTTAACATTTTGATCTTTCTTATTTTGGACTCTCATATTTAATTTGGATATACGACTTACAGTCATTGATTGTTTTTTCACATTAGTCGACTCTAATTTATGATTTATTAGTGATCTTTTTATAATTTGATATGTTTTTATGGTTTGTTTTTCGATGCCGTTAGATCTGTTCGTATTTATATTTTATTCGAGTTTTTTATTTGAATTTTTAACATTTTTCTTTTATGTTCTTTATATGATCTCAAATGACTAGCTTATTTTGTCAATAGTTATAAAAAATTGTCATAATTTTATATTTAATTTATGCTTATAATTGTAAACCTTTATTATGGTTTTGGATATTTCATTTTTTTAATAAAATTAACCAAAAAGATACAAATGTATAATATTTATTCTTTTAGAAAAACTTAATAGGGTACGAAGTCCTTAATTTTTTTAAAAATGTTAACTAAATTATTAATCTTTTTACACTCATTTAAATTTTAAATTGAAAAATAAATTAATTAAATAATTAAACCAATTAAATCTTTAAATTAATTTTAATCTTTAACTCTTAACAAAATTTTCTAAGATATTACTATCACGTGTTACATCACATTTCTGCCATATAGAACTTATAGATATTTTAAAAAATCTAAAAAAGTTATTTAAATATTATTAAAAATATTTAAAAATACTCTTTGATAATATTTTGGAATGATATGTGATATCAACTTGTTCAAAATAATTATTAAAGTTAACTATTAACGTTGATTAAAAAAACGAAGCATGAATCTATCAAATAGCCTCAACAATTAAAAGAATTTTTTTTTTAATTCTTGAGTTCGAACAACTATGTAGTAAACAAGACTTCCATTTCCTTCTTTTCAACTAAATCGTGCACTTCCTCATAAAGTTCCTCACCAACTGTTTCCTGCACATACTTTTGTCAAGTTTCGTAGTTCACCGTTCACATTAGCAGAAACGATCATCGGGTGACAGACCACTAGCTTTGATGTCCTAATTAAAAAAGTTTCCTCACTTTACAAAATAGTCCCTCAATCTTTTTAAAGTGTTTTCTGATAGTGAATGTATTTTGTCTGTATTATACATTCTTTTTACTGTAGAAATCAATTATTAATTGCAAAATCATTGCAACAAAAACAACAAGTGTATCAAAATCTCGTGCCGTGAACCTTTTTTGGGATAAAGGTTGCCACTTTCCTTCTATTTCCTTTTCCTCTCACTCGATGTGATAATATGTGTGTTCGTGTCGTGTTTATTTTATATTTTCATTTATCATAATAGTATTTAAGATATTACGTGTTTATGTAATTTTTTATACAATAAATTTCCGCGTTATATAAAATACTATAGTATATGTATTTATGTTATAAGTTTGAATCGATTTAATTTTAAATATAATCGAGATTTATATAATTATCGGACACAAGAGAATTACATACCATGATCAGTATATGTTAATATCGATAGAGAAGAGACTTAAAAATGATAGAATCTGAAAGTTTGAAAACTACAGAAAAACATCAAGAATCTGATAAAAAGATTAGAATATTATCTCACACATCAGTGGAACATTGAGTCCCTCTACTTGAACCGATGAACGGACTCGTCGGTACAGCACCAGGTCCAAACGCCACAACCGACACACAGTTAACGTTAAACCGATATCGGCCGGAAACCCAACTCCCGACTTTCCACCTGAGTTTCCCGATAACTTTGAAGCTCAAAACCATCCTCCCCACACTCTGATCTCGTCCGACTTCGTAACCGAAAGACGGAGCCACGGGGAAACCATTTCCCTGCAAAACCACAGTCAACAAGTTGCTCTCTTCATGTCCTTGGTAAAACGGAGGAATAGGGGTATCCATAGTGATCTGCTGGCCTTTATACGAAGCGTAAGCTTGCAACTCGTCGTAGTAAATGCCGACTCTGTTGTTGGGGTTGTTGGAGAGGAAGGTGAGTTGGATGGACGAGTTGAGGAGCGAAGGGCGAGTGAGGTTGAGTTGGTAGATGTCGGCTTGTGTGAGGGAGAAGTGTGGTTTGGAAGGGTGGAGGGTTAGCCAGATGAGGAAGATGAAGGTTAAAACGATGGTGAAACATGAAGAGAAAACGAAGAATAGTTTCTTGTAGAACTTGCTGATGGGAAAGCTTTGTTTCTCGGCGCAGTGTTTTGGAGATTTTGAGAGCACCTGAGACATTTGCAAGAGAGACGAGGAAGAAGGGTTGTAGTTTACTTTTACATAGGCTGACGCCTGAGAAATTGTGGCCGATAGGCTTTAATAAAGGGCGAAACTCAAAAAAGGCAGCAATTGTTTTTATGGTCTAATTTTAATTTAGTCCATCTACTTTATTAACTATTACAAATTTAATCTTTTTATTTAATTTGTCATGATTTGATCACGGTACTTTGCTATAACTAATTTTTTTTTGAATTTCCAATTATATAGAAGGTATAATATATTAGAGATCATTGAACTATATAAAAATGATTTTTTATACTACAAAAGGATCATTAAATTTTTAAATGGTTAAAAACTTGTCATTAAAAATTTTCAAATTATTACAAAATAATATTTAAACTGATCAAACTATTATAAAATACTCATTAAATTTATCAAAACTTATTTTTATTTTAACATTAAATGGGACCATTTTACAATTATTTAAAAAGTTATTTTATAATATTTAAAAGATCATTGATTCAAATTTTATTTTTACGTAATTGAGTGACTTTTACTATCCTTAATCTTTACATACATGTAAATTTTATGTTGACAAGATTTAAGAACGGTTGATAAAAGAATGAGGTCATATATTCATTTAGTACCCGAGTTAAACTCTAATCTTATGTAAATCATATATTTTGATTATGTTTTATAAATAAAGTGTGTTTTTAATATGTTTAGATATATATATTATTTAGAAGCTTGTTGTTATAATGAGGACGACTAAAGTACAAATGCAACTCATGTATGGATGTGTTCAAAGTTTAATAAAAATCACACATCATGGGTCCCAAGAGCCTCTATTAGGACATATAGCCCCACCGGATCAAATCATGAATATGCATGACATGATGCAGTTTCAAAGAACCATACAACAGGCTTCAACTACAAGTTTTAATACATCCTTAGTTTTTATGATTTAATTGTTCTGTTCATTTCAAGATTAAACTATTTGTTTTTCTCATAATATAATTGTAGATTTATTTTTATCTGAAAATGTAATTAAAGGCGATAAAATTTTAAGGAACTTGTCAATATCCAAAGAGTACGATTTCGATTTATATTCTCATCAACAAGATTAATGGTCGAATTTTTAAATTATCGAATTTTAATTCGATACGATATTAACAATAATGCTCTGAAAATGGTGTAACGAACCGGAGTGAACCAAAGCGTGATATAATCATCGTGTAAAGGTAGCCCAGCCAGAAGAAGTTAAACCCCCAATGATTCATGGAAACATGAAGAATCTGCAAATTGATTTTTGCAATGATTTTATGGGCGTCTTTATGTAGCCGCTAAGAAAAGGGCATAAACAATTCCTTAGAACAAGCATGTCAATACATTTACCCTAATCCTATCAACTTTTGGTAGCAGAGACTTGTGGTAAGGTTGTTTTTAATTGTGAGATCGATCGAAAATTTTTATTATTAAATATTATATTTTTATAATAATGTTATCGTAGAATATTAATTACAATATAGAAAGATAAAATCTTTACTATTTTACGATATCCCCGTAATATAAAAATTAAATGTTAAAGTTTTTAATTAGTTATATAATCGAAAGATCTCTCAATAAAATTTATTAATTAATTTAGTTTTGTTAGGTAAATGAGGCAAAGGGACCCTCTAAATTGGTATCTTTCAAAGGAACATCACAGTGTGGGTGGGTTGCTTAGACGTTTGAAATTAGAAAAAAAGAAGAGGTTTTTTTCCCCCTTTAAAAAGATTGATCTTTTTTCCAGTTCTTGTTGAGCCCTTCAATTCAATCCAATAGAAAGTTGGCTGACCCCTTGACTCCTCAAGAAATCATTTTGATTCATTGCTAACATCCCCCCGTAATTTGCTATCTTAAGACTTCTTTTAGTTTCTTGTCGGCATCCACTTGATCAGCTTGTGGTTGACGAAAGAACTGACCCTTAAACCTCGGGATTATATCAGAAAAGGCAAGTTAATATATGGTTAATATACGGTGTTACCGGATACATTATAATATATTTAATAAATTCGGTTTAGCGCTATCGGAAATATCGAGTAATAACAATGTTGTAGGTGGAAATCATGAAGAAAATATTAAAAAATTTAGCAACCGATAAAGTTAGCTTGTCGGTTTGTGTCGATAAAAATGAAAAATGTATCGCTCCATAGCAAAATAACAGGTAAAAATATGATAAAACCGGTTTCATTATGATAAAACCGGTAAACCGCTACTGGATCATGGTTTTCAGAACCGGACCGGTTTTCAGAACCGGACCGGTTAGTGAACCGGTCATGCTACCGGTTCACTGGTTCAACCGGTCGAATCGGTCCGACCGCTCAGAAGAACCGGACGACGTCATAATTATTTAAAAAAATTAAATAAAAATACTAAAAATATTTAATAAAAAATAATTTTTTATATCACAAGTCATATTCAAAGCAAGTCATAACATATATAAGTTAAAAACCATAAAATCAAGTGAAACAAAATGATTCAAATTAAGTACAACATAATATTTAAGGTAAAAACATATTAAATAATAAATATAATTATATAA